TTCAATTATTTTTATAAATAATAAAATTCTTCTAGAAAAATTCAATTATTTTCAAAAATTTTATTAAAATTTTTGTCAAAATTTCAATTGTTTTTATAAATAATAAAATTCTTCTTCAAAATTCAATTATTTTCAAACATTTTAATAGAATCTTCGACAAAATTTCAATTATTTTCATAAATAATAAAGCTAATCGCAGAATTTCAATTATTTTTTTTTAATTTAATTTTAATCAATTTCCTTGAAAAATGTAACTATTCTTAAAAATTTTATTAAAATTCGTCAAAAGATTTCAATTATTTAAAAATTTGGTAATAAAATTTTTTATAATAATTAAATTTGAAGAAACATTCAATTATTCAATAAATAATTTATTTTTGTATTTAAATTTTTAAATTCTAGTAGAATTTTCTAATAAAAATTAATTTAAAAATAAATTTTAGTTTAAAGTTTAGATAATAATTGAATATAAAAATAATTTTGAAGGAGTTACAGTAACAATATTCTGATAATAGAAAATAATTATCTTATCTTTCGATCATCTATAATTATTATAAAAAATGAAGAAATCGATCACTCCGAGTCTTCGACTCGGAGTAATCGATGTCTTCATTTTTTATAACAATATTTTTAAAGTTGTTTAATTTTAAAAAGTTATGAATTTGAAATTTTTTAAAGTCTTAATTCCTATAGAAAAATAATAATAGGGGAACATAGTCGAGGTCGGCCCACTTTTTGACTTTTGTTTATAACTTTTTTTTAAAAATGAATTTGGACAATTGAAGTATATGGTTGGAAAGTCCTGTTTAATAGGAACATCTTTTCTGTACAAAGCAAATTGATTGGTTTTAAAATGAAAAAGTTATAAAGATTTAAAAAAAAAAAATTTTTAGTCGAGGTTGGTCCTTACAGTCAAGGTCGGACATGTTTAAAATTCAAAAGGCATTAATCGTTAAAAAATAAAATAACATGTTTGGAGTTACGGAAAATTGATTTTTTATTGTTTACAGTTTGTAACTTAATGAAATAACAAAATAATAACAATAAACAATATAAAAAAATAAATATAAATAAAAAATTTTCCACTAAAATATTAATAAAATTAAATACAAATATTAATAAGATGATCAATTATATTATGAGTTATACAGAATTGCAGTTTTTGCAAATGAAGTAGCTCGTCCTCATCTTTGCGCATTTTAAATGCGTCCCAAAAAATTTCTGCATGCTTGCCTTGACGATTCAATTTTTTTTTTATCTTTTATTAATGATTTTTCACATGATGCACAAAACTTTTTTTGAGCTTTTTTTTGTACCGACGTCACAGAAAACACAATTTTCGATTCTCCGAAAATGTAATTAAACAAAAAGTTAGTGAACTTGACAAAAAACGCGAGTGGCCTACCTAGACAGTGGTCCAACCTCGACGATACTCCCCTACTTAAATATTTATATTTAAAAAAGAAGTTATTGATGTTTTTGGATAATTTTTGCATTTAGAGAAATTCGTAAATAAATGTAACAGAACATTTATTTTTGAGTAACTTTTTGAGTGACTTTTGCTATTATGGATTAAAAATAGCTATGATAGTTAATGATTAGCTTTCTCAACAAAAATATTAGTTGTGGGACGTAATTTCTGTAATAGCTAACAATAATTAGCTAAGGAAGTTAAAAATTAGCTGAAATAGCTAAATTGTTTATATTTAAAAAAAATAAAAATTTTCTATGACTATCAAGAAATTTGAGTAGATAAGAAAAAGATTGCAATTTCTTTAACATTTGGAGTATTTTTTCTAATATTGGAAAGCATCATGTATCACAATAATATGCATCTCGCAATACGCGGACCTTTGGGTCTGGGGAACTTTATTTCACGCGCATAACGCATGAAATAGGAATCCGAAGCATGAAATACGATGACGCTAGGGATGAAAATGTTCAGACGCATAGGACGAAACCGTCACATGGCGGATGAAAATGATATATCTCTTAAAATGGAAATTTCGTGTGGAATCTGTCGACAAAGCATGATCAAGATTGACTGCAGTGCGCACAAATCGGTTTCTACGAATTTCATCTACATTTTCTTTTCCAAAATTATTATTACACACGAAAGATTTGATAAATAGAAAAAAATTGTTCATTAATATCGTCTTGTTAAGATCTATTTTTAAAATTGCTCGATAAGGTTTCCGTCTCAAAAAAATAGAAAGGTGACTTGTAGAAATCAACTTCTTGATTAAAATATTTTGACTTCGAAAAATATTATTTTATAAATGTGAAATATAAATTCTATAGTCTCAAATCAAAGCTTAGGTTCTAAAGATGATATAAGTAAAGTATTTGTTACTGAAAAAATTTTGTTTTCCCCATTGAAATATTTTTTGAACTCTTTTAATGCTAACATATTGATAAAATCTTGTGTTATTGATGCAATTGTGAAGATTTTTATATAATCTCGAATAAACTAGAGTAAGTGTTTTCGCCGCATTGCGCGCATATTATAAAAACAGCAAGAGGAGAGTTTTCATAACTTTGTGGAATTTTTTGTGTTATACGATAAGAAATAAGCTCCTCACCAACAACGCACCATGCGATTCTATGTCGTGAATGTTTTTCTTTTACCGTGAACTTTCAACCGCGAATGAAAGTGCGCGCAAAATATTGTTGAGTCATTATAGTCAGATATGATTAAACTTTTTTTATAAGGCACCATAAAAAAAGAAGTGAGGGCGAGACTGTAGAAACAGAGGAAAATATTTTTAAGTAAGGGTCTCCTTTTATGAATGGCCTCGAACTTATTAGTTTACAGCCTCTTCGAACAAATAATAATATTCTCCCTCATTTCCTTCCCTTTTTCATATTTTTTTTAATCGCACCATGCATGCTTGTCTCGTATTTTCAATTAATGCCCTAACAGTTATGACTGAATTTAAAACAATTTTTCAATTAAACGTCTTTTTTTAATTATGGTTCCATTAATATACTGTATTTAATTTAATATTTTAATATTGTTGTATTCCCGTTTTTAAATTCAATAAAAGCAGAATTTAGATGATAATTAATGAGAATGGAATAATTATTATAGTTTATTAAAAAGAATGCATAAAAAAATCTCTTTGCAAATTTCTCTCAATAAAAAGAAAGGCAGATTTATATCCGCTAAATTAAACCCCCGGAATATTATCTTTTAATAAGGGAGATTTTAGTTCAGATTCAGCGAGGGGAGTTTCTCCACCATCATCTCTGGAGGATTTCATGGTCTAAAAATCCGTACGATATCTCGCCTGGCGTTATTATCTTCTTACCAATTTTTTTTTCAATTTTACTTTCTCTTTGCGTGAATTTTTATTACTAAATATATTTTTCGCTACCGGACCTGTAAAAATATTATTTGCTTTTCTTTTTAATGAAAAGTAGATTTAATTTCTGATTAGATGTTAACGAGAGAAAGAGAAAGTTGGATAATTATTCCCATCATTTCCTTCGTTTGTTCAGTGAATTGTGGGTAAAGATTTTCCGTTTTCTCAAGACAGATCAACCCCTTGTCGATAAAATGTACGTGACTGGATGAAAGTAGATGAGTGAAAATTCTAGGGGCTTCAAATCCACGGGATTGTCGTACAAATTAATTCAAATATTTGACATTGCTTGTGTCCCGGCTCTTTACCCTCCTTGAATATACTAAAAAGGAGAAATACCCAAAGGTTGTGAAAACCCTAATCCTAACTAAAATCCAGACTCAATGTAAATATGGACAAAAATTTTATTGTATTTTCTTTCATTTCTTGCAAAAAAAACTTGAATAATATATTTTTTATGGGAAATAAAAGAAATACGTTTGACTTTTTCTAAATGACGAAACGTGAAATATATTAGACTCAAAAGTGTTTCACTGTAATTCAAAGGAAACATAAACGGGAGTGTCGCAAAGTAAATGTATTTTTTATAGAAAAAAATAAAAAATAGAAAATATGAGAGAGAGTTTCTCTTGAAACAGTTTTTATGCTCGAGAAATATGTTAAATATTATATGTCCAAAGAGTAGAAGGTGTTTCTAGATATCGCTGCCATATATCCATCATAACCAACATTTTTATTTTATCGTCCCAAAGACATTTCGAAAGTAACAACTCATTGTTGGATTATATTCATTTAAAGTAGAGGAAGAAAATAGAATTCAGAAGAATCATTGTTTTAATTAAAAATTAGTATAAAATTCGGGATTATGAAGCTGGAAGGAAATATCTAAAACTTTATATGCATTCTCAAAAGATACTAAAATTTTCAAATCTGCTGCCGTTGCTATAATTAAAAAAAATCCTTAAAGCTTTAGAATTACTGCTAATTACGTGTACTTTTCCTTAACGAGGATTTTAAATCTAAATGAACAGTTTACTAAATCTCATTAACAAATTTATTCCTGGATCAACTTTAAACTATATTACAGTTGTTATGTATACATTTTAATCATGATGATCCTCGATTATCATAAAACTCCGATAGTGAATACGCATCATTATTATTAGATTTTAGCTTAATTGCAAATTATATATGTATGAAAATCAAAATCATTTGTATTAATGGTATTTCATATTTTTTGTATTAGGTATTATTTTATAGAGCGATAGTATGGAAATTTCAATTATATATTTGTATAACTATTGAAACTATACAAAAATGGGATCAAAATTTTCGTGAAATTTTACTCTAATAAACAGTAAATTAAAAATTAATTTACTTCGTAAATTTTAACAAAGTAATTATACTTTTGAGAAATAATTTTTGTTGAAAGTGAATTTATTTTGTTCTATCTTTGTGAATAAATGTGGTGTAAACAACATTTTCTTTCTGTAACATCGCACATAAGGTACAAGTTTTTTTCGTATTTTTCTCACATTCGAAGTTTAAATTATGATTTTGTGATTTAGCAAAATTTACTTTGGAAATCGTAAAACTTGCCAAAAAAGAGATTTTTAAGATTGCAAAATTGATTACCTTCACGTGGTACGAACTGACACCCCGTTAAGACTGAAGATGTCCATCTGTCCACAGAGATGCACGAGTCTTGGCCACAAAACCCTAAAAACATTGAAATAGTAGTATTTTAATAGTCAAAATTGAATTCTAATAAAAATAAATTAAAGTTTTACAAAGTAAATAAAATTATAAATGATGAACGATTCACGATTTTAACAAAGTTTTTCACGAAACTATATATAATTTCTAAAACAAAGTTCTGGAAAACTTTTTTAACCTGGGGTTAGCTTTCCATCATATGAAAAATAAAATAAAAATTTAATTATATAGTTATTTTCACTAGAAACTTTAGTATTAATGATGGTCTTTTGGAACAAGATTACCTAATTAATTTAAGTAATTCCAGTAACTTATTTTTAACTTCCTAGTTCCTAACTCGATATTTTAGGCCCTTCTATTCTTCCACAAGTAGGAATTTTTTTTTGGTACGATTTCTGATTATAAAAATAGATTTCCATTTATATTATTCTCCTTTTTTATATTTAATGTTTAATATATCATGATATTTATTATTATAATTCTTTTTGAAAGTTTCTTAACGTGATGTGCCTACTGATTTTCTAAGTACTACATAATATCCCGGCAATACGTCACGAGAGCTGCCGGTCATATAATACCACAATACCCTCTTATTGTGTAAACTCCCCTTTTCTGCTTGCCAAGTAGTCCGCATAATATTAATGAAGATTTATTACTTCTTGAGATTTTATGGTTTATCCTTTTACGATCTAACCTCTCGAAGAAGTTTTTTAATTTTATCTTCTCCGGCAAACTTTTATACTGATTTTATGTATCTTCTTAATAGGCTAATGATTGTTACTGGAATTATAAATTAATATACTATGTCAAATAATAAAAAGAAGTCTTAAAGATACCCAATTTTTATAATTATTTACTTTTAATTTATCATCAAATGTATACTGTTTTTGATGAGATTATTAATACATATGGCTCTAATCACGCGCTATAATTTCATTTCTGAAAATGGAGTTACGGTGTTAACTTTGAAAATTTGCTCCTGTCAGTTACATACAACTGTTCCCTGAGGAATGACGATAGACGTGTACTGTTAAACCACGTAATGTGAATTTACGTTACGTGCGCTACCCTTTTTGTTTGCAGTCAGATAAACGCGAACCCATCACACTGCCAAATGACATTAATCAAAATTTGCATTATAATAGGTTTGAGCATTCGTGATCATTACAATGATTTCTATGTTTAGGAAATGTCTGCAAATAGCGGAAAATTCGGAAATTAATACAAACTGTTAATTTTCTTTTCTTTTTTTTGGAGGAATTGAAAAGTGAATCCATAGGATAAAATCAAGATCGAATTCTTCCGAGTGGGAGAATTTAGAATTCTTTTTATTGTGAGAAAAGAAATTTCTAAATTTGCAATTCACTTTCATTATATAAGAGACTGCGGAAGGATGCTTATATTTTTCTTGCAGAAAGTGCCCTAAAGGCGCTGGAAGTGCCCAGACATTTGCGTCGGAACACCGGCATGATAATTGCAAAGAAGTTAATTAAGAACCCTGTTGGAATGTTCCAATTTACATTTCCGCCCATCCATTTGCGTCTGAGCGGTAGCAACGAACTGTGGGTGGATGCGAAAGTGAAGCGAGGAGAGGTAAAGGTTAAGGATCATGGTTCTCTTCCGCTTTTAACTGAATTCCATAGCCGGGTTTTGGGAGCTTGCACGCGCTATAGAATAAAAGGGTATGAAGAAAACGGAAAGAAGGGAGAGTTAGTACAAGTTGCACGAAGGAAAAGTGAAATGAAAAGCGGTCGTTTTCGTCTTTTGTTCATTCGGGGGCTTATTTTTGGTAGTGTCGCGCCTAAAACAACTTTCTAAAAATATTCCATTTCTTTTCCGGTCGAGGGTCCTGAGGGATGTTGACCTACAAGAATTGGAGGGTTTTAGATTGTGTGCTGGTCGTTTCTTTGGATATGTTCTGTCAGGCGTAACTTTACCTTCTTGTTCTTTGTTCGTTTGTGAATGTTAAGATTTTCAATTTGGATGAATATAAATTATTCGTTTGACTTTTATTTATTTTTGTGAAAAATCGTGAATTATAATTACTTGTTCATTCACGTTCGGCTGAAGGACGTTGCAATTAAAGACAGACGAAACTTTTCCACCCGAACCTTGCTTGCAGGCACGAACGTTTCGCTACTGGTTCCCATGCGCAAGGTAGGGGTACTCCACTCTTGAGCCCCATTGGTGGACGCCGGGTCTTTCTTCCAGTCCGTGCGCCAAGGTTTCAAAATTTTCCATGTTCTAAGTTCATAAATTTACACAACCCTCACTTGTTACTCGGAGAAACAATATTTATTCTTTCGCGAAAGTTTTTTTTTACTTTTCCTTCAAGAATCGTTAATTTTAACTTCCCCCTCTTTAAAAGTGGGTCCTGGTAATTATTCTAGTCTTGAACATGATGGCAGAACTGTTGATACGTTATTCGCTGCTGAGAAAGAGCGAAGAACGAGGTTCCGCGACTCCTCCTTGGTTTTCTTGCTCAGTAGGGACACTTCTCTGCGCGAGAAGGTTAATTACGATTTTAATTAGTAACACGCACGAGTGCAGTCATGGTGCAAGATGGATGTACAACACTAAGTCCCGGAACTGAAACACCCACTTGCCACCGCTTTGCCATACACTATGAACTTTCTCTTATATTAAATCGGCGGTGTTAGTCTGCATGCTCTTATGAAAGTAATTAAATCTCAGCGTGTCCTTCCTTTACACGTACGAGATTTGTGTTATTTGACTGAAAAAAGGAGTGAAACGTTCCACATGCTTCAGCATAAAATTAAAATTTTACAATCTTGCGATTGTAACTTTCTTCTGGATAATGTTAAAGGAATGTAAGGAAAGAAATTTTTTGTCGTAAACTATTTTTTACACTGACCGCACTGACCCAAATAAAAGTTACTTTATATTTACATTTTTCAGCATTTTACGAATATTTTCCTGAAAATATTTTTCAAGCATTTTTCATTAAAGTAATAGAGATTCTTTTGGAATTTTAATATAAAAGACAGTATTTAAGTTTGTTAGTAGAATAAATATGACTGAATGAAAAATGGAGAGAGTGAAAATGATTTAGTTTAGAACAGTAGTTGATAGAAGTAGTGTTTTAGAAAAGAAAAAGTTTTATAATAAATTTCTCTACTCCTTTTAATATCTAAATTGAAAATTAATAAATTAATATTATTCACGTTTGAGTTCTCGAGAATATGGGATGCTATAGCTTTTTGTCTTAGATATTTCGCGAGAGTATCTTTTGTGCCACTCGAGGATTCTTCAAGTTTTGCCTTTCCAGGTGGATAATGCATGCACTATCAGTATTCTCCTGCAGTCAATAACGGCACATGGAAAGTGTACTGACTAAATTTCCATAGAGATTTCTTCAGACTGTGTATGGAAATCCGAAACTGAAAAACAACGGAAATCAAACGCTGCTCTCCCATGATTCGATCGAATTTTCTCCCCGAAAAAAATTCTATCCGAAACAGTATCTTTCATACTGAATAATGCATTTTCAATTTTATTCTAAAAATGCAAGAATTAAGTCGCCGTAACAAACATTCTTTTTTAGATGGGAAATTTCACTCTCTCGATACCAAAATACCGATAACTTTTTTGACGCAAGTTTCATAATTTGAATTTTCTAGTATCGAAACCTCCCCGGCATTCTGGGTTCGTTGGTCGAAAACTTTCAATCATATTGATGAAGGAAAACTTCAGAAACTACTCCCTAATTTAGACAAAGAACGAAAAACTACATAGTCACCAAATTGCAAATTACCCAGTATCCTCTGGTCATTTCCGTTCCACTTTTGAACTACCAAGAAGTATTTATTTCGGTATCCGGCTCGAAAATTTAGTAATTGGAGGACTCTCGCTTCCGCAGTTAAATCATCAGCACTTTGGTTCGCCATTGTGACAACAACGCCAGTCCCAATGGATTTTTCAATGTTGGAAAATTGCCCTCAGTCCAGGATATTTAAATTTCGGATTTCCACTGATGATTTGTTTCAAATAACGAATAATAAATCAAACAAACAATACAAATTTTTATAGCCAAACATAGGGGAATTTTTTTTCTAAATAGAAAATTAAAAATAGTCAACAAATAGTGTTACATCCTGTACATTTTTTAACTTTTATTTTTCTTTTCTCACACCGAAGTAACACAAGAGTTAGACTAAACAGACTGGACAGAACTCAAAAATTATCATTTTTCTCCAGAAAATTTATTCTTTATTGCTCACAGATTGTACATACCATGAAAAGGGCAGTTCACATTTCCCTCCGGGGCCTCCAAAAATAGTTTTTGTCACGTTCATAGGACTTAACAATAGTATGAAGTTATTGATAATAATCGTCAACATCCTAGAAAACTGTTTGTATATCCGATGTGCATTACACTGAGTAATATTTTCAGGATTAGGAGTTGCTTAACTTGGATTCAGCAAGGAGAATGTGTTACGGAAAAAAGTCTGATTGTAGTTTGGTTAGCTTCCGACTTCGCCGATCAATGTTTCCACCCTCATGGATTCTCAACGCTTTGTGTATTCTCCTGTATTTCCCGTACACGTAGCACAATCAGCAGGTGTTTACACGGCCTGATTAACGTTGTTCCTCCACTACTGCTTCAGTATAAGGTATACGATTCGATGGTTATACCTCCGTTTGGCTGACTTAACTGTTAACAGTCCCCCGGATTTTGGATGTCCCAACAAGCCATACCCTCTTCTCCACTGGAGCTCTAAAGCCTCTTTGCTCTTCTCCATGCATCCGTGACCCTGCGGATCATTCGTGGTCGGTCCATTGCAATTTACCCTCCAATTCAATTACACGTTTCCAATCTAGCCGTTAATTATTCTTTTTATTTGCCGAGTTGGCAGACCTGGTTGGAATATCTATCGACGTTGTAATGGATAATAAAAATTCGAGTGAAAACGATTTTTGGAAAACTTTCATTTTCAAAACCCTCCCCTTACCTTTTTTTAACTGTCTGAACTCCAGGTCT